CAGCGTTGAAGAGCTTTTGGAGCTCCCTTAGTACGGGTTTACCCCCGGCCTTCAGCAGCTCTGTTGTAACGCCATCCTCTCCAGGGGCTTTTCCATTTTTTCAGCTGTCCAAGAGCCATCTCGATTTCGTCAATGCTAACTTCTGGCAGGTCTTCGGTGTAGTGACGTGTTAATGTGGCTCTAGAGTCCTCATTTTCGGGATCAGGTCGAGATGCATGCGAAGCGTATAACCGGCCATAGAAGCTTTCCACTTCCAAAAGGACTGCCGGCTTCGAAGCAACGACTTCTCCACTTTCTGTAGTCAACTTTGTCAGGTGGCTTCTTCCAAGAGATTGTACGAACACTTTTGACCCCCGATTTTGCTCGATCGCTATTTCAATTGAAAGAGTATTGGAGCACCGGAGGTCGTGTCGTACGAGTTTACTGATCTCTCGGTTTAGAGTCCGCTTTGCCGCCAAAGTGACAGGTGGGTTTTCACGTCGTTTCTTCATCAGCCCTAGGGTCCTTTCTGAAAGCTTCGACTTCCTGCCCTTACGCTGCATTTCACAAAATCTCATACCTTCTTCCCTGAGGATCTGAACCACATTTTTGAGGTTCTGGTTTACGTCGATTGTGGTTTCCACGGCAGCGAATCGGTTTTCCAGTTTTGACTGGAACGTTTCAGATCCTGTCATGGCTTGGAGCCGAGTTGGTCGGAGCCTGGATTTCATCAAACAGACACGTTCCGCCTTAAAGTTGATATTCAGAGAGCCCCGGACAAGTCGGTGATCACTACCGGTATTAAACCTATTGATCACTGAGACGTCTCTGAATATGTGCTTTCTATCCGTCATGATGAAATCGATCTCATTTCTAGTCATAGCGTCGGGGCTTTGCTACGTCCACTTCGTTTGGGGCTGTTTCTTGAAGAAAGAATTCATCAAAAACAGCCCCTCCCGTTCGAGGAAGTTGACCAGCATTTGCCCCCTATGATTCCTGCTTCCAAATCCATGGGATCCTACTACCGATTCGCCGCAATTCTGTACTCCCACTTTAGCGTTGAAGTCACCCATAACAACGTTGTAGTCAACTTGTACTGATAATAAATAATCCCCAGGGTGTATTGCAAATTCTTTTAATATTTTAAAATACAAATAAAAAAAAATATATAAAAAATATAGATATATATATATTTTTTTTGTTTTTTATATTTTTTATTTATATTTATTTACTTTTTTATTTTATATATATATATTTTTTTGTACAATTGTTATTTATATTTGATAATTAATTAAGAAAAATGAATGAATGAATGAATTTATTAATTATTTTATACAAAAGTCTCTAGCACTGCGAGCTTGGCAGAAGGTGAACGTTCAACGGGTCCCTAAAAAAAGTGATCGAATCAGCCCTAACAACTACCGTTCTTCCTATATTTTATTATTATTGACAAAATGTTTAAAAACAGCATAAAGCATATTATTTCATAAATTATAAATTCTCCCACTAATGTGGGAAAACAAAAATGATTTTTTAATGGTAACACTGATTCTAAATTACAATTATCAATGTTTTATTTCAATTATAGCCTTATTTACGATATTATCAATACAAAAACCATAAACTTACACGTGATAAGTAATTCCGCATGATTTATTATGGTTTTGTGACCTTGAATCGCATTCTTTCACTACGCATTTACCCATTTTGGCGATTGTTACTGTCATGTGTCGCTATGTTCAACTCGGTTGACGCCACATTGAACACTGAATTGACGTTTGCTACGCATATGCCTGTGGACACATGTGCAGTAGGAACGATTTTAGGCGGTAATTACTCATCTATGTAAGTATTATATCAATGTCCGCTGTTGACATACGGTGTTTACGTAACTCGCATCATCTATGACAATATTGTCATTGATGCTGCGAGTTCTGTGCGATAGTAGCCGCGGCTATACAGGCTGTACAGTAGCCCAAAACGTCATTTCTTAGGAGAGGCATATGTCCAGCAGTGGACTAGGATGGTGATGAATAATAATCATAATAATAATAACCTGCCTTCTGAGAATGCTACCAGTAGCCGACCGCGATAATACCTAGGAATTTTTGTCACTTTTCGGTAAATTGTTTGGTTTTATGCCATTACTTATTTGTAGGTATAATGTGTGAACTTATGATTTATAAATATAATTATTTGTAAAATAAATAAATAGATGTATGTTAAATAAATATAAATAAAAGTTCGTATGTTACCGTTCCAGACGAACTCTATAACTTCAGTGCTTTTTTTTTAACATTCAGTTTAAAAAACGTTATTAATTTAAGTTTCATAGAAATGTTATCTTGTTGTAACTTATGCATGTGTATGATATTCGCATATATTATATATTAAAGGTGAACACTTATCTACATATAAGTACGTAAGCAAACAATAAGTCATGAGTCTAGACTAGTTTATTTTTTAAATAAAGATAGGTTGTGTTAAATGATTCATAAACATTAATTTAAACACACCATTTTTCTTTTCATTTTTTTTAACAAAAGTAATGGTAACCATTACTGGCTTATTTATTTAATTGCTAATGACAAGCCTCTAAAGCTGATTCTGCTTATAGCACCTACTTATAATATCTTTTTCTATCATAAAACATAAAAAAAAACCAAATGAAAAAGGTAAAGTATCTAGCAGTTGAGGTAAGTAGGCAGTTGCAGTAATTCTTACAAATTATGGAACGAAGCCGTCATCTTGCGAAAAACTAATTGTACATAATTTTGAGTTATTCTAGTAAAAAAAAAACGATGTCTAATTGTCTACTTTACGTAAAATTTTGTTTAAAGTTCTTGCCTCTTTTAGTATAAAAGTATTTCGTCGATAGTTAAACGAATCAGGGTTCTTGTAATAAAGGAGGAAAACCCATTAGGAGACCTTAGCAAAGAGCTCGGTACAGTCAACTGACGCACTGCACGTAGGGTGTAGTGGTTTACGCGGGCACGCTTCCTAATCTGCTGCTTCGGTGATTGTAGTCTAAGAACTATTGTTGCGCTCTGTAGTTAAGGTATCTCACAAACTTAACTATTTCTTATTAGGCCCATGTCACCAAAGAAGTACGGAGAGACATTGTATACGCTCATGTTTTATCGAATGTTATTTGTTTGTATTACATATATATTTATGTGGGGGAGGCTAAACTTATCATTACACAATGGTTGATTTCTTTGACATACGACTATACAGAAGGTCTGTTGGCATTATATACCAAATACACCGAACAATAATGTACAGCGAAATGTGTAATCGCAACTGGCACCAGCAGGACAGGCTTGCCTAGTGTGGTTTGATAATAAATGAAATTTGATTTGAATTTGAAACATGAGCGTTTACAACGTCTTCCTACACACCGCGCAAGAGAGCAAATGTGGGCAACTAAACATCCTATCCCGGGAGGTTTCATCAAACCAGCCACCTGGACACTGCAATGGTCAACATGGATATCATTGAATCATTTACGTACGCAGGTTGGTCCTTTCCTTGCAAGAGCAACATTTGGGCTGACTAAGTTTAGGGGTGTTCACCTGTTGATACGACGAAGAAGAAGTGCCGTCAACCGAGCACTTTGCGGATTGGTTAGAAAATCTGGAGTATATTTGAAGGAAAAGTAATGGTGAGCAAGAGAAGACAATGTGTATGAGCCAGCTCGGCAGGAGTAATACCAGGCCCTCACAAGAAACCGCTGTTACGCAATTCTTTTGTTGCTTTTCAGCTAAACCTCTCCAGCTTTTTTTGGGGTAGGATGAGAGGGAGGGGGGCCCAGATGACATCAACGTACTTGCGTCTTTTAAGCAACATCAGCATCATCATAATCGTGTCGATCCAAAAGTGGTTCAATCCACATACTGGATGAAGTAGTAATGTTCCTATTGGGAAGACACTGACATAGCTGTTCTTTAGCTGCTTGAGAGATGACGTATATCTATCCATAAAAGAGCTCAAAGAAGTTGTTGTTCTGCTGCTCCTCAAGTGGCGAACCAACACTTTAGACTCACTATTGACCGGCCTGTTGGTCTAGTGATTAGTGACCCTGATTGCAAAGCCGGAGGTCGTGGGTTCGATTCCCACCCAGGACAAATATTGTGTGATCAACACGGTCATTTGTTCTGTGTCTGGGTGCAATTTATCTATAATATGTGTGTATTTAAAAATATATAAGTACGTTTATCAGCAGTCTGGTTACCATAGCACAGGCTCTGCCTAGTTCGGGATCAGACGGCCGCGTGTGAGATGTGTGAGGTATATATAACTATAATATCCCGGAATTTGTAAATTTGAAATAAAGCTAGATGTAAACCAGCCCCATCATATTTCTACATCACCGACATTAAGTTCGCCTTTGTACAACATGTGCATTCAGTTTTAAAGAAAATAAATAAATAAACATACAACTTTAACTTGAGAACAATTTTTTTTGGGTAATTTGGGAATAACATATAAGTAGTTGTTAATAACAATTTTGAAAAAGAATGACCAATAATATTAATATTCGAGAGACAGAAGAAAAGAACGTGGAAGCTCCAGATATATTCTTAAATGTGAAAAAACAAGCTTAGTTGACAAATTAATGTCTTACTTAAAAAGGTTCCCAATTTATTATTTTTCAGACGCAATAATCTATTTTTTCAGACACAGCAAACAACTATTTTTTGGCTTCTAAAGTATACAAAACCTTTAGACAATCATTATCAACACCAATTACTAACTGCAGCCATACTTGTGTACGAAATATCTACGCTATACTAATTTATTTACGTTTACCGAAACACTTAGTAGCATTACTTTGCATGTTTTATTTGCAAATATATGAAAATTTATTATTGAAAGTATTTCTTTTTAAATAATTAATAAAATACCTGAAATATCTGTGATACTGTATTAAAATCATATTAATTTATTTTTCTCGAAAGAATTACTGCTGTGCTTCATTTCAATTAAAGTCCGATTTAATAAAATGAATACAAATTTACCTGTGAAATGATTTGTTTTGGCACTTTTTAGGAATTACCCTAATGTTATTGTCCCAGCACTTCACAAACGGTAGGGTCTGATGGCTACACGTCAAATAATACTTAAAGGAGCAACGTTACGTTGTGCTGTGACAGCCGGCGGATGGAAAATGATCTGTGACGTTCAGCAAAGAAACAAAACCAACAAAGCGCTCAACACGTCTGTGAGACATGTTTTGTTAATATGCACTTACTTCCTTTTTGATATAAAGCATCTGATTATAACGTCACTGTGTCAATTGCCTTCCGTACAGATTTGCTGACCGGCCTATGAGTTTGGGAGTCTAAAAATTCGATTTTCACTTAGGATCAATAATTGTTTCCAACGATCATATGTTGCGTGTGTATGTATTTCATCCCGTGGGTATCGTAAGAGTCGACTAAAGGAGCAAACTACGTAGGACAACAGGACTGCAAAGAGAAGGAAAACTTGAAACAAACAAACTCTATACCAAATCCGTGTGTAGAGTAGGCCTAAACCTTCATTCAGAGGAGCGGCCGATATTCAGCAGTGGACTGTTAAAAGCTTTTGATAATGTTTTGTTTGGTATCAAATAGCCGTGTTTTGAGGTGTCTCAAATTATAAACAATCTTTTAACATTCTTTTAATTTCCAAAATTGCCCCAATTTTTGTGTTGCCCGTATTACGTCAGTAGGACCATCATTCAGTCGTCAAAGTGTGAGAGTTAAATATTCCTTTGCCTAAACTGTGATTAACAACATAGCATTCCTAAAAGCAATTCTTCCGCTGCGTTTCAATGACTGACTGAGGTTAGAGGAGCCTCTACATAATTAAGGAGTCTTACTCAAACGCCCTCGTGTCTTTTGTGTTACAGGCGGTAGTCACTTGCCATCAGGTGTCCCGTGTGCTCGTTTGTCCGTCGGCCAAAAATACATGATCAGTTCAGCTATCTTTGGCTTCGACTCCAAAGAACTGAACCTATGATAAAGTAGACACAAAGCTATGGACGCCACCTTGCACTATCATTGACAGAGAAACACATTTTATTAATAAATATCTTTAATATCAATTACACATTTACTCGTACTAAACACTTTATATTTGACAAGTATATAGAATGGGATCATGTTTAAGTAACATAACTCTATCCAACCACTAGCTACCGTCCATTATAACCATCAGATCCACTTTCTCCCCTAACTTTCCAATCTCCCGTTCTGCCACCATTACGACGACGAGATTTGCCACCACCTCGCCCTCTCTTACCGTCCAAACCAGGACTACCTGGTGTGCCATCATGGGTTTCATTATAACCAACGCTTCTCTTCTTACGCTGATAAGCACCTTTCAGCATGAGATAAACACTTATTAGATAGATTACAAATATCAATTTATGAATAATTTATTTTATGAGCCCTAATTTCGTGAGTGATTTTCATATTGTTGCGCCATAGGATTAAATAGTTCGATTGTATGGAATGTAGAGGAAAGCGCCATCTAGTATCGACTCAAGTACATCTATTTTGGTTAATACAAGTAGTTCTGATCCTTACAGCGCTAATTGGCGCTACAAGTAACAAGTGGAATATTCTTGTTGTTTAGAACGGACTATCGAATTTTAGGGTTTTTCTAGTAAAATTCAAAAGCGCTATAAAAGCGGAGCGTGTTGGCCGTTATGGATAGTATCGTTTTACGACACAGCGAATTAACATCGGAGTGAATTTCTAGTGCAACTAACGAGATATACAGTGATTTCTAGTTTATTATAGTGAGTGTTTGTAAATACTATACAGTGAAATAAAGTAATTAACCGACAACTTTTATTTATTATATACCCCGCTCGTAACAATATTAAAAAGGCTATACTAGCCTGTGTATTGTGGAATGCTTCACTAGTTTTACACCTGTCGAAGATTCCTTATGACTATATAACATAAGTTACAGTGACAGTCGACAGTTGAAATGAAATACCATACCTTGTCCCAGCATCCTCTTCAGTTTTTCAACAGATCTGAAATCAATAAATGATGAATGACGATGATGAGGAAAAGATAGATACCCTTTAAGAGAACTGTCTCGACCTAAACTAAGAATATCTTAGACTGGGTAATAAAGCACAGATTCATTTACTATATATTGACTCAATATACACACGACTAGTTAAGAATAACATATAACACTCAAGATTGATTCTAAAAGTTTCCAGAAGGATGTCGAGCTTTTTCGGGAAAGTTCTATGAGCCCAGCCTATACACCCGTCACGTAGCGGCGTGGACTCATTCTAGTTATGCGATAAGGTAGGCAAAGTGTAAACAATAGCGAACATTACAAACGAATATCAGTGGCAATTGATGTTACATTTTATTATTGGCAACTGCTTAGCACGTAGAAAACTAATTTTATCCCAGTTTATATGTACTAATTTGTTTATTGTATAGAAATATATTCTCATAAAACGGAAGGTAGGTCGTCTTCAAACATTTGAAGATTACAGCTTCCCAGAGAGAGTTACTTTCTGGCTGATAACATAGGTCAAATTTGATTAGTATTTATTTTAACATTCAATAGCAAGTACTTTTTCCTATCCAAGTGGTGGAGGATGAACACTGGTGGTAGTGATATAGAATGGTGGAACAATATTCAATCGATCCAATAGTAATTTATTTACTAATTAATTCTTTGTGCCCAAATTACAATTAATGGTACAATGGCGGACTTAATGTCACAGGCTTTTTCTCCCAGTCTCCTTTGGATGGTGGTGAAATGTCTGACTAGGTGCACTAGACATTGAGTTTTTTTTAATAATAATTGAGAAGATGGATAGAAACAATGGGACAGGTACAGATACATGCATACTGATATACACATACATATACACTTGCACAGTTACATACATACATATTTACACAAATAATATATACGAGTAAAACTTTAAGGTTGCGATGAATCTGCTAGAGAGTCTAAAATGAGAGCTCGAACTCTCGTCATGAATGACTGGTGGCTGCGTGCTATCCTGACTTCCAGAGGGAGGGCGTTACAGAGGAGGACAGATTGGATTAGATTATTGAGGAGATCTGCATTCAGGTCATAATAGGACACATCACCATAATCTAAGATAGGGACAATAAGGGTATGTATATACTAGCATCGCTTTTATCTCGGGGTAAGAAAATTCTTAAGCCTATAGAAGGCCCGTAACGTACCAGCAACCTGACCTGGCTTTGCCAGCTGAGCTAAGAGTCGATAAGTAGACCCAGGATCTGAACAGAATTACAGAAGAGAATGACTACGACGTTAAGAGTAATGGCAGTAACCTTCTAGCCATACGTTGACTGTCATGTATGATGATTCAAAACAGTTTGATTCTACAAAAATAAATCACTGAAATTCTTTAAAACACTTACTCTTCGGACACTGAGTTTTTCAGCCAGGTTGCAACCTTATCTGGAAGAAGCAGATTCCTGAAAATAGACATTAAATGTGATTTTTAATTAAGATCAGTTCATCTACTCGTCGGGGTTAATTTTGAAGAAGAAGGTTGGAATCAAACCGGCTGAACGTGCCTGTTCCCACATTCGTTGGTGAAGACCATTTACGGCACTTCTGCTGGTGTAACCTAAGACGGCAGTTGCAAAAGACATTGGTCATGGTAACCTCCTGAACTCTTTCCAAGTTTTATGCGCGGTTTAGGTAGTGTAACATTGCAAAGGGTTATGGCTGTTTTTTTTTATGGTTCGACGCCTGACACCAACCCTCCTCGAGTATGTAATTGTCTTTTGAAGGGACTAAGTAAGAAGGCAAATGGGGGTGAGAAAAACGAATGGATTACTTACCTGGGGGCACACCACTTTTCAGTTATACAAAAGTTCTTGTAGTAACGAAATGGCCAAGCCACATATTTTGACTAAAGTGTAGAGTTTGTGAAGTTAAGGCGCATAGAGTTAGAAGTTTGGCTGTACATGAGATCTGATAACTTTTGACAGTGAGAGACTTATGGTCTCCTCTTGGCAAGATTTTACATTAAAATGTTTTTGGTGGGATTACATTCGTAATTTCTTTTATTTACTGCTGGAAAGTTACTTCTTTCGTGTACAACTCACTGACACCTACATCCCCGAAGTGTATACAGACGAGTATATATAATTTGGATCCAGACACCTAATAGGAAGGGTCGCTTACTTGTTGAACGGTACCCAAGAAATAAAAGGCAATGAAATGAAAAGAGTGTTGCTTATTCGCCCGGTTCGAGAAACAAGCAATAGTTAGAGCAGGTCAGGGTCGCTTATCTGTAACTCGAACTGGCTCTTGGCAGTCCGAGCAATCTAATCAAAACCTGTGCCTCACTAACTCTGTTCCTGACTTTTTATATCTTTTCTCAAATAGATATATTAATAATAATACATTACAACATAAGGCCAAGGCTGATGTCTGCGCTCGGCAGATGCGCATTGAGATGATCTTCGAAGTGGAGAATGTTATTATGTAGGGATGACTCCCTCGCCCCGCGGAACTTCACCTGGAGACGGTAAGAAATAGTGAAAAGTTGATGAAGCCTGGTATCTCCCAATGAAAGGCGTAATTTACCTTCTGTAGAGGTTCGAATAAAACATTTCGGACTCGACTCTGTCTGTATTAAGTCTGTAATACCCTTTTAAAAGTTAAGCTTAGTGAGGTATATAACATAATAGCTTTTGCCTGCGGTTTCGATAATAACCTCACACATCTTTCACGCGGCATGGCAAACAAACTGCTGATAAACATACTTAAATATTCAAAATACATACATAATACAAACACATATAAATTACACCAAGACACAGAACAAAAGATCGTGATCGAATCACACAATTATTTGTCCTGGGTGTGGGATTCGAACCCACGACCTGCAGCTTAGCAGTCAGGGCCACTTACCACTAGACCAACAGATCAGCGTAGATAGCTCAAATACCAATAATCTAATCAAATGTCCTGTCCTGTCCTAACCAAACCTGTCGCGTCGTTGTAACTATTGTGCCCGGTTTACTTACGCTGGAACTCGCCGTCGTGGTTGTAAAGGGCGCTAACACCTTGTCCAATGCTTGCCGCACCGAAACTCCCGCTTCACTGTTCTTTATAAGATGCATCAGTTGCATCACTGAGGCTGTGGTCCAATTCTTAGCATCCTTGAAGTCATGGGACCTTTGTATTAGCGAAGCTGGAATGGAATGTAAAGTGCTAATTCCATTGACATGGCACTCAATGAGAAAGCTCTCATCTACTCATTTGGAGCTATTCTTAGATCCCTTCTAACTCAGAACCAGGTAAAGCTACTGAAGTGCTCGATATGCCGCAAGCACCTTCTTACTTCATTCGTTGTTACGTCTATAAATTACGTCGATAGATCCTCAAATATCGATTCCTCCACTTGTAGGTATCCTAGAAACATGAACTGTGGTGCAAGTAACAGTTAATCTAAACGTTGAAGAAAACATTTTAAAAGCTGATGGGGCCAAGGTAACAATAAATGCGACTTTAATAAAAATATGAATTTAATTAATTTGGTACAATTTTCGAAATATTTGGATATTTGCAGGTACGTGCCGCTCCTGCCAGTCGCTGCCACATGAAAAGGGCGCACGGCCTGACGGCCGCTCTGCCCCGCATTTTTAATCTCTGATATCTATGATATTCATTTTAATTATATGCAGTTAAGGACAATATTGATCTAAATTACAAGGATAACGAATAATACTGTATTGTGAATAGCTACGTAAATAACCCTTTTTTTTTTAAATTTCTAAAAGATAGCAACAGTTTCTTTGGATTGTCTTTAGAAGATATAGAGATATAAGACATATACCATCTCTTGAAATGGCATTAAAATCCGTTGCGTTGGTTGTAAGTTAGCGTACAAGCACGGTACTAGGACGGGAAGCAAATTCATTTTATACTCTGTAAAGAAGTTGGAGTATAATCATACCTCTAAACTGGACTGGTGCACGTCTCTGCCCGTCTTTTAGAATGCTTTCTTCGTACCGTCTCATAGCAAGGTTCAGATACGTCTCAGGATCTTCATTTACAGTGGCAAACACTACAACCACTAGACACGCACTACACACTGTTGTTATCTAAAGGAAAGAAAGGTATTATACACCTGGTGTAGGCACGTGTTCGTCATCATCTTCTCTTCTCTCGATTCTATTCGACGTCGGCGCAATGCGTATCATTTTCTCACATTTTTCCCCAAATTCAGTTTAAAAAACTCACCTGGTAATGCATTTTGAAGATACAAAGCTCTTTCGTGCATCTAATGCCTAATTGCTATTAAATGGTTAGGTTTCTTAATTATTATTTTTTTGTTATAGTGTTAATCACCAGTTTAACTATAAAATTTTACTTTTCTCTTAAGAAACACATAATCTTCTCTAATCTTAAATATGAACATTAACAGTAAAACAATAATACATTTACTACAATAGGTGAATAGGTACGAACAAATTGAGTGTGAATCATCGAAACTTGGAACCACTCAAAGCATTGGCATAACTTACTCTAACTCTGTTCCTCGCTCATGGTCATCATCATCACCATCAACAGCCTTTACTAGTCCACTGCTAGACATAGGGTTCTCCTTAGAAAGGTGGTTTTGGCCTACTATACCACGCTGGCCAGACGGGTCGGTATAGCGTTTGTTTTAAGTTTTCCTGCCCTTTGCAGTGCTGTTGTCCTGCGTAGTTTGCGCCTGCGTAGTGCTCGCTACATACTCGTATCTCCAAATAATGAAGGGGTAGGCAGTGGTGTAAGACATATATTTATATAATTTTGTCATCTATAATTTAGTTATATTGAGGCAAGCTGGATGCAAGAAGCCAAAAATCGAACGAAGTGTCATGCAATAAGAGAGGCCTACGTCCAGCAGTGGACTGCGATAGGCTGATGATGATGATAAGCCAAGCTTATTTATTATCGTCAACCACTCACCACGCCACTTCTCCTGTAACTCTAACTGGCGACTACTTGGATGGTGTGAGCGCTCTAACGTAAACAAAAGATACTGCGGCAACTTTGGCTTACAGCAACAAAACTTATTTCAACACCATCTACTGAAGACACATCGAACTAACCCGTAACTACTAATTCTACATCGCGCAATGAAAGTTGAGTCATGGCCCGCCAGGCCACGCAGTGTTGGAAGGACATATCAGCCTTCCCTCCAAATCATTGTTACCATAACAAAAAATTGCGTTGTCGAAATCAAAACGAATCTACATAAATACAATTTTAACGTTCTGTTGTTTTTTTTTTTGTAAATCTCTTAGAGTTCTTTCTAGTAGTTAGATAGTTTAGTTTTTTTTATTATTATATATTTTTTATTCTCCTAGTGATAATATACAGGAGTGATTTATCTTTGGATCTGCAAAGAAAAAAATCATAAAATACTAAAATTAATTAATATTTCAAGTTCTTCTAAGGTAAGGTGAGATAGGAGAATTTCTGAGTGAAGTATTGTTTGAAGTTAACAATCAACGATGTTTCGAGAAACAAAACGAAATTGAAAGAAATTACAAATTAAACCGTATAATTAAAAAACCAACTTATAATTTTTAATGAATTATATTGAATCGTACAATAATTTGTTACAGGCGCCGCAGTCGTTGGTTCTCAAGTACGAACCCGCACAACGCAAGTGTAGCTTGGTTATTATAAATGGACATAAAATTAATAATTTGCAAAATGAATTTAATTGTAAGTGCATTTCTGGTATTTATTTTGTGTAGGTTAACCAAGGATATGTTAAAGATAGGTAATTTAAAAGGCCAGACACGTGAGGCCGGCCTGTTCGAACCGCTGCACTCTCAGTCCTCTTTGCGGTGTGCCATACCCTTGCTCCCTCGCCCTATCCGTTTTCATTAAGCAAATGTAATGTAGGACGCCCACAGCCCAGCTGGAGTGCTGATTTGCGCAAGATAGCTGGCAGTAGCTGGACGCGACAAGCACAAAACCGATCTAAGTGGCGAGCAATGAGAGAGGCCTATATTCAGCAGTGGACTGAAATAGGCTGATGATGAATAAATAGTTTTCTTTGTCGCAAAGGAATTTTGGCGTCAGATAAGTGATCGGACCGGCCTAGGATATTCCTGAGTCCCTTACACAATGTGGTTGGTTGTAGTATATTCGATTCTGTCATGCCACTTCACCATGAGGACCGGTGAAGTGAAGACCAGTGGTTCCAAGGGAGTAGGTTCCCCTCTGAGGAGCAGAGTTAAACCTAATTGTGTTTGTACGACCACCTAAGTGTGTATGTTATGTTCGTCGTCATTGTAAATTTTTGCAGAAACTCCTGGCTGCTGTAATAGTCATCCTGCTATTTATGGAAGTAGAAGCCAGTGAACTAGCCACAATAGCATCGCTGGATCCCAACGTTGAAGCGAAGGTTGTCACTCAAGCTCCGGTTAAACTTAATAGTATGCACTCGTGTTTTGTTACATTTTACATTATTTTCCCGGGTCAGGCACTTTTTTCCCAGTTTTTTTTAATTTTATCTAAGATCTATGCAATGTATCATTTTTCAAAGGATTTTTAGAGTTTTTTTTCATGGCTAGCTGCCTGGTTAAAGCCAAGTCTCTTTGTAAATGTAATGTAATTTCTAAAGGGATATCGAAAGTCGTCTAGTGGCCAAGTTTTGGCGAAAAACCTGACAAAACTAATTTCAATGTTTGACCCAAATATGATTGGGGCAGAGCAGGAAGATAATGATGAAATTGTATTATTTAATTTAATTGAAATTGATTTCGAGTAAAACAGGTCAGGACTACCGGGTCGGAGACAGATGCAAGACTGCTCCAATTTTTAAGCAATTTCTCTGACCTTGAGAGTAAGTGGTTTAAGACTCTATAAATGTTGGGGCAAAGCTGGTGTACTAAGAAATGTAATATTTTCAGTCACTGTCATACCCATGCCTGAAGGTTATCAAGACTCCAAGAACTGGACATCGGACTCTGTTCTGCACCTACTTAGACTAATAAATGGGACCGAGGCAGCTGCAATAATCAATAACGCACTAGATATCTCGAACACAACCAAGGCATGTATTTACAAGATTATTTTAACGACAGTAGAGGTATCACATAAATCGTTTCTTTTAACTTTTCTAACGACAACTAATAATACTTATTGACTCTGTGAGCTTGAAAGTAACAGTCACCCATTTATGCATTTTATACCCACTTCGAAAATTTCGATCAAAACAAAATCAAAGTCAGACACTCACGCAGTGCACTCGATAGTAACGTACGTCAGACTTATCTTGTGAACCTTCCCGCTAACCGTGTGTTAGGACGGACTACTATCTTCTCTGATCCAACGTCAGATTCTAATAAGCATTATTTATTTTCCCGCAGCTAACAAGAACAAACGAAAAATCTATTGCTGACTATTCAAAATCAGTGAATGATGTTATGTTCAACATAACCAATTACAAAGAGGCCAAACTGGCCGGTGCACTTATCAGTGGCACTCAACTCAAGTATGTGCCTGATTATATGGTTCATCATCATGATTACCTGCCCATTTGTAGTCTCCTTGGGAACATAATCGTTTTAAGGTGGGACTAAGTCAGAAGGTAAATTGGGGTTAGGAAAACAGATATGGTAAGGGATGGCGCAACTAGGTGTGGTTGGATTAATGTGATAATGGCTGGGTTGTTAAAAAAGAGCTATAAAGATGTTTAGTTTGACAATAAGAAATACACTGCGGGTTTGGAATTCCCCAATACCTTTCGCTTTATACGGTTACGATTACGGAAGAACGATTAGATTCTCAAGGAGAGTTGGCGTCAGGGCGGCGCAGCCGGCCATTAAATGAAAAGCCAACATTATTTCGAAAACATCAAATGAAGGAATGCACGAAAGAAAATATTGAGAGATCAAAAAGAATAGAAAAGAAACTCATTACTCTGGCCCCAAATACATTTGGGCAAAGGGAATAGTTATATGAATAGGGCATAGTCGAAGATAATAATGATGACGGAACGTCTCAAATTGATTTGTTTTCAGGCAAATTTTGCAAGACCGGGCAAGAGACAATAAAGATTTGGAAGTAATCCTCAGGTATTGTACCATGTCTTTTATCCATAAGAACTTTACAATCAGCAGGATTTTCATAGAAGTCTTGTGTCAGTGTACTGTACAATAGACCCGCATTGTACGGTGCGGTATTCACCAAAAAATTCTATGCTTCATCATAAATGGACCAGCTCGACTGAAATAATACCACGACCTCACAGAAAACCGGTGTTAAGCAATTCCTTCAAATGAATCGGATCTGGCGGACAACCGGTATGGTTTCCGCCAGGAGCGCTCTACCTTGGATGCGATCAAGCGCGTCAGGGCTCTGACGGAGGAAGCAATTTCCCGGGGTGAAGTGGTGTTAGCGATGTCCTGTGACATCACCAACCCGTTCACCACCTTGCCCTGGAGTTGCATCAGGGAGGCGCTCCTGTATCACCAAGTACCTCTCTACCTCCGCGCATAGTCGAAGCATATTTATCGGAGAGAGCCGTCGTCTACCCAAGTAGGACCGGTGTCAGTCAGTGTGAAATGTCGTGTGGTGTTCCGCAGGGTTCGGTGTTAGAGCCGCTCCTGTGGAACATTGTCTACGGCTGGCTGACGCTCCACACAAAACAAGTTTATTCTATATGATTTTTGTGATTTTTTGTAGTTCCTTTCTTCTTTCGCCGGCTTATTGTTCTGTTAAAAAGTTTTTATTCAATGCTTTTTTCCAACTGAGTAGTTATTTACGATTAAGTGATGATCAAAAAAATTATTCGACAATGTGTAGAATGTATAAGCCCGCCACAAATTATTTTGAATAAAGAATCGTTTTATTGTTTGTTTTAAGCACAACGGAAATTGCCCCAGTAAAAGGCAAGAAGGAAGGCAAAGGAAGTGGTGGCAGAAGTGATGGAGGCGATGGTAGTCAAGATGGAAGTAGTGATGGTCATCCTACTAACCCTGGACAACCTAGACGCTCTGGTGACGCAGAGATACTGCTGCCAAAGATGGTAAAGGAGGAAGTAGTGGAGGCTGGTATGGTGAAGGGGTAGGTGGTGGAAGTGGAAGTGGTGGAGGTGTCCAAGGCAGAATTAGTGTACGCTAAGGTCTTGTAAAGAGACTTAGTGGGGCGGAGGTGATGCAGATAGCACTACTGGAAGTCCTATTGGTAATTTTAAGTATTTTTACAATATCATCATTTAAATTATCTATCAAAAAAATCATTTTTCATAAAAATTGTGTGTTTTATTCAATTTTTTAACCAGGACGTTCTTATTGGTAGTCCCCATGTCTACCAATAAGAACGTCCTGGTTTAAAAATTTATTTGATAGATAATTTTATGCAATTTATGTTTTAAACAATATACCGGCCAAATGACCGCCGCGGCTCTTTTTGCAGACGGTCACCCGCTCACGCCAATTTTCGATGACGCGGTGCACCATTTCGGCTATGGCTCGTCGAATGTTGGTTTTAGGTCTCGCATTGTAGCTGGATTATTGCTGTACACTTTAGATTTAACGTAACCCCAAAGAAAATAGTCTAAAGGTGTTAAATCACACGATCTTGGTGGCCAACTGATCGGTCCATTTCTCGAAATTAACGACTCACCAAAGTTTCCACGCAATAATTAAATGTTCACTTGAGTAATGTGAGGTGGTGCACCGTCTTGTTGAAAATAAAGGTCGTCTGCGTCAATATCATTAAATTCCGGAGAGAAATATTCGGTTAACATCGAGTTATAGCGCTCGCCATTCACAGTAACAGGGTTTCCTTCGTCACTTTCAAAGAAGTACGGACCAATGATTCCACCGTACCATAAACCGCACCAAACTGTTATTTGTTGCGGATGCAATGGTGATTCATGAACCACACGTGGATTTGACTCACTCCAATAAGCGGCAATTTTGTTTATTAACAAATCCATTGAGCCATAAATGGGCCTCATCTGAGAAGATGATTTTACGATGAAAATCGTCATCGGCTTCTATCATTTCCAGTGCATAATCGGCAAATTCACGACGGATACAATGGTCGGATGGCTTCAATTCTTGTGCCAAAACAATTTTGTGTGGGTGTAGGCCCAAATCCAACCACAAAATACGCCAGGTGGTCATTAGAGAAAGCCCCAACTCTTGTGAACGGCGTTGAACTGATCGATTTGAATTCGCATCAACACTGGCCTGAACGGCTGCGATATTCTCTTCACTACGGGCATTTCTTTGTCTCACAGGCACGGCAGTATCGTGGAGAGTGAATTCACTTTCAAATTTTGTTATTATGCGAGTTGCTGTTGAGTTGAGTGCGCACAGAAGGAGCGCTATGACGACCGTTTTTTGCGCGAAGCGCTCTTCCTGTAGCCGTAGGAGAACGCGAATTTGCGTAACAATTTTGGACAATTTCGAAGCGTTGGTTTAAAGTAAAACTTGACATGATAAAATGGCAAACCTTACTGAACACAAATGTCAAGAGACGTCAAAGATCCATCATCAAACATAGCCGCTATGAGCTGTCAAAACCAGGTCATCCCTATCGGTAGACCCAGTACAAAGTTTAAACAAGTGCATTTATTTTATTTATTTGATTTACCAACATTTGAATTCAGTTTGACAATATACATACAACACAGAAAATAAAACAATAATTACAGGTAATTACAGCATTCACAAAATATAACACAGCTTAAAAACAACATAAACTCTTCTACACAAATCCAAATCTTTTACACAAAATTAAGAAGAAATCTTATAAAATTAAATTAAACCTAGCGATATTTGCAACATTATTTTCATTGTTTTATTATTGCCAATAAAATAGTATAGACAACATATTTGCAGTCTAGTCTGTTTTCCTTTCTTTAATTTACCTAATTCTTTTTTCCATTCTAAAAACGATTCAGAATGATGGTTCGAACATTCGTAAAGGCAGACATAAAAGAAATTATCCAAATTCCCTTTACAATTACGCCCCACACTGACTCGACAAGTAATAAAATTGGGTAAAGTATAGAAATAAGTTTAAGATTAAATTTTACATTTTTTGGTGATGGGGTGGAAAATCCCTTCGGATCCTCACCCGCCAACATAGCAATAATGATTACTGGCGAGAACAGGTCTCGTCTCATTCGATAGCTCAGACGCCCACGCGACCGGTCTTCCAGCGAATGCTGGGCGGAGTCCCAGTCGGCTCCGCAGCGCTGGCATTGTGCCGTCTCCACGTGGAAACAAAACATACATAAAAAAATTGTTAAACGAACCATGTCATAACTATTAATCACTGTTATGTTTCCGCTATAAATGAGTATTTTACTCATTAACAATGTTCTACAGTTTGTTATGAAATACGTAATGATGTGAATGCAATTTGTAACGAGGAGGGAACACTCGCACGCCTAGCTCGACTATGTTTAGGAAGGTATTGTCTTTATTTCCTTGGCGCGGCTAATGGCCAGCTTCAGAGTTTACCGCGCCTCTCGGTACTGCTCATGAAGCCGGTCCTCCTCACCGTCTCCGGATATGCTGCCGACTGCGAGTATAAGACCTCCGGGCACGTGTACAAGCTACACGGAGGTCCGCTAACTCCTGAGACCACCAGTAGACCTCCTTCCTTGGAGGCCGACGACCTCGGATGCGGGGTATGGCCGCATCGCAGATTTGCGTAATCGCATCTTAAGAAGATAGAGGCCCACCTTAGGAAGAGATCCTGCGACGCGGCACAGTGGTTCAGGTTCGTCTGGACCAGGAGGTTGGAGACTTGGTCCATTACTGGATCGTCTCTACAATTTCCTCCATGGGCGACGGCGACGACGCACGAACGACGCCGAAGGCGGCCTGGGACTGGCTAGCCCCCGACGTTTGCCGAGAATTGCGGGGAGGTTTGCAGCCCCCCTGCTCAATCTGAGTATTGGTAGGCTTGTTACGCGCCGCACACGCCGGGCAGTGAGGGGCAGCAGAGCATTCTGCCGCCTTGTGCCCCAGTTGACCGCAGCGGAAACATAGTCCGCTGCAGTCAAAACAACTTACACACTTGACGCGTGTGTGTCCCGGTGCCAGGCATTTAAAACACCTCATCGGTCGCGCCGCCAGGACTGGGATCCTAGCGTCCCACACAGCGCCAAGCCTTCCTGGACGGGGGCGGATGGTGCCGACCCTAATGTTGTCCGCGTTGCATTCCGTCTTCTCCCGAATTGCAATGCGGACGTCTTCGGCCACTACAGAATCGTCCAGGCCCAAAATGCGTAACTCTGCGCACTTGGTAGGCCAGGCAATCTTAACACCATCCGTAGCTGCGAATATTTCCCGCAGCTTCTCGGCAGCGTGTCCGCCGTCTTTGCGCCTTCAGCCCCAGGGAACTCCAGAACTCGAGCTCCCGTCTGGGCGAGGCGCATCCTGACCCCTAATGTCTCGAAATTATTGGGGAGACTGTCCCGAGCCCTCTTGAATACGACCGCGTATGACAGTCCGCCGATAGCCACCTCCGGGGATACGGGGACCACTACACCCGCGGTTTTAGGCGGCTGCCACCACCACCGAAGGCGATTGCGGAGTAGAGGCTGTTATATTGCCAGCCTTCTTACCCCGCTTTCGGGACTTCTGAGTCGCTCCAACTATCTGCCACCCATCGTTACTGGGGGGGGGGGGGCAGATGAAGTGGGGCCAGGCACAGATGTCGGAGTAGGAAGTGGAGGGAACTCCACCCCAGCCTAACTAAAGATCAGTATCACTAAAGATTTATGTATTTTTTACTTATTTCAAACGTATCCTTTAATTAAGTGAAGTTTTAGTATTTGGTTGTTATGTTAGGTACTTTATTTTTCACTAAAATTGGGAGGTCATTGACACTTGCGCGCCTACCGAGTGCAGTGTGTCTACAAATTGCGAGTTCTAGAGACAACTTTGTGATGCTAATTACTCAATATTTTTGTACCATGTAATACTAAACTAAAATGTGGGTTACTCAAAAATTTTACTAAAGATTCTTCTGTGTTAATACGGAGGCGATCGCCAACAAACGATACACATTTCTACAATAATTTAAAATTATACAAAAACATGCCTCATGTGCTCATTCAGTTACAGGCGATCACGACTAACATGTGTGAAACTTCTAACCATTCTACAATAAAAAATAAGGCATAATAATAACAAAAAAATATTAGAGAAAATGAAAACCTGTGCAGAAAGTGGTTGTTCATCAAGAACCACATATCACGGACTATTCAAATCCCATATTTAGGTGATCTTTTTGCTCCCCCCCCCCCCTCCCCCTCCAGCTTGGACTCAAGATTGTCCGCGATTTTTAAATTAGGCAAACTATCTCCAAAAATGTCCAAATCTAACAAACACGAAAGTTCGTTGTAAGACTTCGTCCGTCGTCGTCGACTTCGACCTGGTTAATGGCGAGTTAAGTTCTAGATTAGTCCTGTATTTACGTAAACTGAACAGCCTGTAGACACTTGAGCGCGGCAACCTACTTGGGGCTAAGAAATGGATTCCTGCTATTAGTTCAGGAAAATCTATGTTATTGTTAAGAACGTTGTACAAGAAAAGATCAAGAAGTTTGCGTCTATCATTAAGTGACATTAAATTAAAGTGTTTTAAGCGAGCATTATATATATTGTTAGATACAAGAAAAAATTATAATGGGTGATCTATGTAGAGTTGATATTATTGCGTACCAACGCAATATTTAGTTGGTACATGGTACAAGACATTGAAAAATGGTACGTTTACCAAAAATCCCTGGCCAAAGATGAAAAATCACGCACCTATTGACACCAAAATGCCGAGGTACCTGGGACTGATTTCTTCCCGATTGTAGTATTCCTACAGCTCTCTGCATTTCATCAGCAGTTAAATCTCGTCGCTCCATGACATAAAGAATTATTCACCACTAATTTTTTTCAAAGTCTGTATATCTCAAAATAATAAAAGTGAGATAAATAGGTATTATCAAGCAACAAAAACACTTGAAATTGGCCATTTTAAAATAAGCAGAATATGTTTCTGAAAACAAAAAATATTGATATAAGTACAATATTTTTTGTTTTCAGAACTTCTTTGCTAAGGAAAAAATATTCAAAGAAAAAATAAAAACATGCAGTTTCTTTCTATAAATGGTGCTTGTGGCTTAAGACTTTTGATGTGTGTAACTATACGAGGGGTGATCAATAAGTAATGATAATCGAGTATTTCTAGAACGCACAAAAACCCAAATTATTTTTTTTCTGCTTGCTTATATATCCACTACTTCAGCTTTAAAAAAATGTATAAATAGGACACCATTACCGGGAGATACATTCATTTGAATACGAACTGTCGAAGAGAAAACATCAAAATGGAGAAAAACGAAATAAGAGCTGTCATCAAGTACCTCTGCCTGAAAAAAATGTCTACCAAAGACATACACAGCGACTTAGAGGAAACATTGGGGGAGTCTGCTCCTCCATATTCCACAGTCGCACGCTGGGCAAAGGAATTTAAGCTGGGCAGAACCTCCACTGAAGATGAACATCGCGAGGGACGCCCTTCCACGTCCCTTACTGGAGAAAACGTCAAAAAAGTGGAAGATATCGTGTTGGCCGATCGAAGGGTGACCGTAAGTCATGTAGCTGAGGTCACAGGGATCTCCTATGGCAGCGTTCAAAAAATCATTGTCAACAAAATGCATATGAAAAAGGTCTCTGCGCGTTGGGTACCGAGAATGTTAACCGACGAGCAAAAAAAGAAACGAGTCGACATTTCGAGGGTGAATCTTCAAAAGTTCCAGGCCGATAAAGAATTTTTTTTGTCGCGTTTTGTGACCATATACGAGACCTGGATCCACCACTTTGATCCCGAAACCAAACAACAATCAATGACTTGGAAAAGAGCTTCCTCACCAACGCCGAAGAAATTCAAAGTGTCAAGTTCAGCGGGAAAGGTTATGGTCTGTTTTCTGGGATGCAGAAGGAATTATTATGGTGGAATATTTGGGCCACCAAAAGGGGGCCACTATAACAGGCTCTTACTACGCAGGCCAAATAAGAAGATTGCGAGAAGCTATTAAGTCAAAAAGACGCGGTAAACTGCGCGCTGGAGTGCTGTTTCACTAAGACAACGCCCCAGCTCACAAAGCCGCAGTTGCGATGGCTGCCATTGAAGAAACGGGGTTAGAACTGCTCGAACACCCTCCCTATTCGCCAGATCTAGCTCCGAGTGACTTCTACCTCTTTCCTCGGCTCAAAGAACACCTCCGGGGCAACAAATTTGAGGACAATAGTGAAATGATGGCCGCAGTAGAGGCATTTTGGGAGGGTCAAGACAAAGAATTTTTTTCTAAGGGAATCATGGGCTTAGAAAAAAGATACACTAAATGTATTAACTTGCAAGGAGACTATGTTGAAAAATAAAATACTTTTTTTAATCTAATAGTTCTGTTTCATATTGATTATCATTACTTACTGATCACCCCTCGTATAAAGGGTTACTGAGTAAGTCGATCTAGATACTTTAAGGGGTTGCAGTTGCCATCATTTCTGATAGATTTCACTATGAAATACCATATCAAAAACCTAACCATTTTCAAGATATTACACTTCTAAGATTTTTTATAAAAATTGCCGAAATTTTGCCTAATACATTTTTTTAAGAACTTATTTCCTTTTTTTATACTTTTTTTACTGTTTTTGTGCAGTTGATAAATTGTTTTATAATGTCAATTGGTAAATTGCAATAAAGTTAACAAACTGGAAAGAACGACGAAGATGGTTAATAATAGCAAAAAGAGGTAAATTTGGAAAAAAAATATATTTTTATTTTTATATATTATTACTGGGGAGGTGAAGCGCTCACCATTGGACGTATATAACAACTATACATTATTAAATTTTCGCTCATTGTAATGTTTTTTTTATAACGAGCCATCTATTAAAGCATAGAGCAATCATTGTTTTTCAAAATAAAATACAGGTGTTGTAACTAGATTGCTCACTGTTGTATTGACAGGGCATATTTTGTCGGCCACCATTTTGGAGCAATGTGTTGGAGCGTCGTGTGTTTGGTTTTGTGGTTATAAAAATATTTGTTACAGGAAAAATAAAAGTTCTTCAGATAAGAAAGATAAAACGTAAGTGCTTTTGGTATATTTAGTTTAACTTTAGTTAGGTCTTTCGATTAACATTTTATTGATATAGTTTTTTTTTAAGTGTGGAAACCCTCGCCGTCACCGTATCTTCTTATTTGCACATAATGAAAAGAAATGGATTTCCCTCGAATACAAAAGAAGTCAATGCATCGGTGTCAGAATACATTAGGAATGGTATAATTACGTTATTGGTTTTCGTAATAGAAACGGATTGTCGCTGAACCAACCACAGCCAATAGAAATTGACGATTACCACCAACTATTTGGTTAGCTATATATTAATTAAAAAGTTAAAATATTTTCACCAAAGAATAATTTATCTTTGACTAGGTATTTAAAGTTAAATGCACAGTTTTGTATTAATCATTTATTAAGAATAAGAAAGCTTCGTATACGATACGAAGTAAAGGATACAATTATTTAATAAACGTTCAAGATAACGACATAAAACGCTTTTCCTTCTTTTCCTGTACATCGGACTAGTCGTAATTGCACATTTTTTAGTAAACCTGTAATAAATTGTGACGATAGAGCTAATATTCGCGCGTCGACCCTAAAAGTGGCGTCTTCTATTATTGTTGTCAAATATCTGACTGTCAAGAATTTATCGATAAGTAGTTTGTAAGTACATATCCAACACTAGTTACTATAGAAGATAGTTGCATTAACCCTATGAAAAAAATAAAATGGATTTGCTGAACACTGAGCCCTATTTTCAGCGAACAAATACAATTTTCGGATGGCTCTTAGCACTTAGTTACTAATTACAACAGCGGCTGTAACTGATAGTCACCTGATAGTCACAGGGGGGTGGGGTGAATGTAACTTTTACTGTTCTCATTTAAAAAAATGTAAATTAATGAAAAACCTATGTCTGTTTGTAGTGTGATAATGATACTAATAATTTTACAATTTTCTAGAAAAATCACATGCTTCATTTTACTCTGAGCGCCTATCAAACAAACACTGAATTAATTAAAATCTATACATATTTTTTTTTCTTGTGTAATAATAATAATTAGACAATGTAGTATCTAAATAAGGTAAAAACTTAAGTTCGTATTTTTTCCAAAACCGACGTTATTCTACGATCATGACGAAATGATTGTTTCATTTACTTATTAAAAAAATCCTGACAAATATATTTTTGTTGCGTGAAGTAAGAATTATATCCATAAAACGTTGTATAGAATAATCCGGCATAATTTTTGGTCAAAGTACCGATTCCCGGGAATTTTTGGTCATATCCATACTTTTGATAGTAATAGCACCCAAAATTCCGATCTATGGACTCTACGACGATCGATCTATGGATAACTCAGCTAGATAAAATAAAATAAAATTATAAACATGAACTTTACTAACGTATATTAAATACCATCTGATACAAATATTTACATTTCAACGTATTTCATGTCGCTGCAGCCGGCGGGTGAGGTCGTTAATTCTTGGAAGCATTGAACACGTCGTGGTAGTGAAGCTTGTGGGCCAACATGTCGTCCTCCGACATGTTGGTGATGGTGAGGGGAGGGAGCAGGGCCGCCGCCACCGCCCTGCACAGGGCACCAAACCACATTACTGTAATACTCCTGAACGTACAAGGGGTCTAGCTTTTCGTCAGTACAAGTGGCAAATTGATACTTGTAACACTTGACCATCAGCAGATCGAGATGTTGGATTCTTAGGAGTGATCGTGATGGTTAACTTGATTGTAGATTAGAAAACAGAAATATATACAGTAAATATATTATACATTGAAATACCCAGAACAATGCAGCTATACATATTAATGCATAATGAAACACGTGACCCTTTTTTGTTTTAAGAGATTTTATTTAAATTAAGTTTCGATAAAAGAATAATGTTTCGTCTTTTGCAACTCGTAAACAAAATCTCTTTTGATGGATAAGAAACAATTTACTGTCCGAAATAATAATATCGTTTTCATCGTTCCAAGTTTGAAACTTGGTTTCGTAGGCGGCCGAAGGGGGTTTGTTAGCAACTGTATTTCTTCTCATCCTATCTAACCGCCCTATGTCAATGCTTGAAAAGTGTTCTAGTTAAAGCGCGACCCCGGCTTGTTCGCTACTGCAGTCTTAGCCCCTGACCGAGTCCCACGGTATCCCTCAGCCTAGCTTACTCGGCCTTTTGTTCTGACTGAAACCGATTACATTTCCAAAGGACGACAACCCGACAGCAGACAGGCCGCCACGAATAGGAGAATACAGCCAAAAGTTTTTGTAATATTCCACATTGAGTAAAGGGCAGGCAAATTATGAATAATTATATTAATTTAAAATGTATACTTACCTTCCTTCCGCGTTGAGGAAGTTAAACGTAGAACAGGCGTGTTCGGTAGCCAGAATCTCCGCGTTGAGACCTGCGTTCTTCGTCACGCGGAACACTTTGTTCAATACTGGAAGCTCCTTCGAGTCTAAGCCCAACACCTGAAATTATATCACTAGTCGGTTCGAAAATACAACTCTGCGCTCACACACATTAAACATTAGCTTCGAGGTTATAACGTCGAGGAACGTTATATTAGGTGCATAACGTCGAGGTTATCACGAAATTTACTGACTTTTTGTTATTTGAGAGTATCTATTGTTTCTTCCTTATTGGATCCCTGGATTGGATGGGGCCGCGTCCTACCGCTCATATAATCCTATTGTGTACCTATGTAAGTACCATGTTTTGGTACAGTATTGGGGCGCTAAGCTACAGCCTCGCTCACCAGCAAGTCGACCTTGGGCTCCAGCAGCTTGAACAAAGAGAGCGTCTCCTCGGTGATGTTCTCCGCGCCGTCAACCTGCCACGACAGCACCGTCCTGGAAATAACGTGTTCTGATCTCACTGCCTACTTCGATTTCAAATAAAACGTGCGGGTTTCCTTATGTTGATAAGTTTTCTTTTGTCCTTTATTTACGGAATACATAATGTTTTAATTCTATGGACTTTAAGCATTATGTATACAGACAGACCGCCTCATTCGACTCATTCAAAATACTATTATTACATAGGGTTACTGCCCGGGGGCGAGCTTTCAAGAGGCGGCGCGTCTGGCCACCAGGGGAATTTCTCTGGTAGTCGGGCGCATTGAGGCGCTGGGTGGCCCTGGATAAGACGGAGGTCCCCTTATGCCATTGGCCCCGTCGTGGTCCCCCGGCGCCACAATCGGAAGGTGGCTCTGCGACGAGCACTTCCGACAGCTTGCTCCAAAGCTGTTCGGGGCTACGTCTGCCCTTGGGCAGTTAGAGCCATAAGCGGTTACCGCACCGTTTCGACGGAGGCGGCGTGCGCATTGGCCGGTACTCCCCCGTGGGAATTGGAACCGGAAGTGCTCGCCGAAGTATATCGGCGGACGGCTGAGTACCGGGCGGATAGTGGCAGTCGGCCCCCGTCCGAAGAGATACGCGATGGCTCGTTAGTCGTCCCGGCTGGAGGCTCCACATGCTGGCTTTGCCGCCGTAGAGGCGCTCCAGCCGGTCATCTGACGCAGGTCCTTTCCGGGCACGGCTGCGAGGCGCGACTCATGCTGCCCTGAGTGTGATCGTGGGTGGACGGGACGGGTTTTCCCCTCCACCCGCCATAACGGCCAGTCGCGAGGAGGCGTGTGCCGGAACCCCGCCGCCAACCCCTTTGACAGCCCGAGGGGGTTTCCACACGTAAAAAAAAAAGGAACAATTACTGTACATTATCTGTACAACCTTACCTTGGAAATATGGCCATGGGGCCGAGAACCGTCAGGCCGTTGTTTAACTTGAAGCCATACTGCAATAACACATTTAATGAGTTTAATGGCAAACAGCAAACATGCAGCATTTCCATACACATGAATGACATGAATATAGTGACAGTTTTATGATCATATTCTATGACTAGCTTCAATGGTGAGTTGTACAAATAAGGGATGTAAGTGAGCAATGCAATCTTTGCTTTTCTTTTCATCAAGTGGCTTAATAACAGGGACTGAATATTCCTGTTATTAAGCCACTTGACGAATAGAAAAATGTCACTGTAAATGTTAATATTACTTAAAGAAAAAAAACTATATCTGTTCTTGAGTTCTAAGGGTTTACCTCATTTCCCATTAGACGCCATCATCAAATCTGGACTTAGTGACAATGGAACCACCATTGGCGCCTACTACATAGCCTTTTATACAATAAGATTTTTTTTACTCAGCCCGGAGATGACAGCAATATTGAAGACTATTAAAACAATATGCAATTTGACTGCACGGATGACATAGTGGTTTAAGCAGCTGGCACGCCACTTCCTACTACGCTGAGTGTTGTAGGTTCGATCCCCACATGGGACGACACTTTGTGTGATCCACAAATTGTCATTTTGAGTCTGAGTTTGTAAAGTCCCCCGTGGCACATGATACATTCCCAATGCGGGACTTGTCTATTAAAAACAAAAAAAAAAGTGGCTGATCATAGAACCTCATCCTATCTTGATTTGAAATTAGATTTTTTCGGTTTCGGCCTACTTTTGCCTCAGACGAAAGCTTGTAAAATATTAAGGATAGCTACAGTCCAAAAGGGCCTCCAATTGTATCAGCTGCCTAATAATACAGATCTGTGGTATACAACAAAGAGGTATTACATATTATTATAATGAATGCAGATGCGTTGAGTGCTAAACTTGCTACTTTGATATTATTTTATACTCATATTTCAATAATATGCTTTTCTAATAATAATATAATGTTAACTGATCACTTACTGTGGCATAAGAGTCAATCATAAGTCCCAGATCATAATCCTGGTTGATCACCTTTACTACTGTTTTGCCTTCACCCTCATAGGCTGCCTTGCCACGGACCGTGCTGAACATAGCAAGTAACACTAATACATTAAAAGTTTTTATACAAAATACATGAAAGGTGCAGTTCTCTCAATAAAAAAAAAATATATATATATAGTTAGGTCACATTAGCACTTAAGATTTACTCTTCCAACTTTGTGTGTCCTTGTGTTTTTAGTAAACTCTGCACAGTCATTATATAAAATTACATAAAATAAGTACAGTCAAGCTCTAAATGCATTTTTTTAAACAGGTTTTAAAATGAAGGGTTTTGAATTAGTATTATAAGGATAGAAAGTGTAACTAGTGTAGCTCGTTTGCTATATATTCAGTTAGGTATCATTAATATTTAATTTGTCACCAGTTCTATAATGCACAGTATCACATCCCCACACCTGAAGATCTATTACGCAGAGATTTATTACGCAGAGATTTAATACGCAAAAGTTGTTTATAATTTGGGGCCATTTTATATCTATCTAGAGAGATAGATATAAAATGGCTCCAAATTATAAAATACTTTTGTGTAATGAGCTCTTGACTACTGCCAGGAACATCATTTTGTTTTGTTTTGCTACTACATTAACTTAATTAAAACATAGATAGTCCACCGGTCTATAATTTATAAGTCATACATGCATTATGTATCAAGCACGGTACAGTATTTATTTAATAATTTGTTAATACTGAAAACCTTAAACTATAAGTTATTCCTTAAAAATTTGTTTCTAAATAAACTAACCTCAAAATAGGAACGGTATTTTTGACAGTTTTCGCCCGTCTAATTACATTGGATAACATTTTTTACTGTCTTTTATGTTGTGTATGCTATATCATCAATTATCAATGTATTATATTCCTTCTGCATTAATTTAAATTTCAAGTAATTTCAATTTATGGAAAACGTCATAACAATGACAGTGTTGCCATGCCAAGTCTGTCAAGTCAAAGTCAGCCAAGAGATTTTATTATGGTTCCTTTCGTCTCTGTTTCGATAGGCTGCGATTGGCTATAGCGAAATGGACATAGTTCTGATCGTAAAACAGACGGGAGACTAGAAATGACCCCAGCCAACCACCGAGTTCGACTAGAAAGAGATAGAGGAAACGTCCTATAGATGTAAAGCAGCCGATTTAAAATATTTTAAATAAAACGTTGCCGTTTTAAACACCAAATAAATAGTTTTAAACGCTGTCGAGTACGGTTCCAATGTGTGAAATCGTGCGAACAAGTGGTCAAGATTTTGTTATCGTATTCAATTTAGTAGTAATTCTAGTGTAGTCAGTGATTCCACACATAAATCCGTACCCACTCAGTGCTTCCAAATATGCTTCAGTATGTGACGACATGGTTTTCAGATCTATATTTATATCGCCGATTAATAGTGCATTGTTTTGCAATTTGAAACTAGACGCATATTTAGCAAGTTCTTTAAAAAACAATCATTTGCGAGCATATGAAGAAGGTCACAAAAAAAAACAATTTAATAACACTAAATTATTTGAGTTTTTCAATGCAGTGTCCCAAGGTATTGTCACCATCAATAAATTCCCGAATTGCATTTTCTACTACTTTTCTTTCTCAAGCATACGGCAGAAAAACTCCCAGACAGATGCATGTATGTCACTCCCGTCGTACTCGAGCAACTCACCAGGGATCCCATCGCTCCCACTGCTTTGCAGCAGCAGAGGGGTCGCCTGATATAAAGTGACCACCGCGACTCATGAACGCCTGCAACTCAAGTCACAAACGCGTTACTGACCTTTCAGGAAGGAGTATGCTCTTTTCTTGAAGGTTTGAAGGTCGTATCGGTCCGGAAATACCGCAGACGATAACTTGTTCCACAGATTGTTTGTGCGAGGCAAAGTGTCTCGAAAAGCGCACAGTGGTGGCGTGTTGTTAGTGACGCGATATATTATACGCATTAGCGGACATAAATATACATACATAATGCTGTATAATACTGCAGTATACATACATAAAGCTGTAATATACTGCAAAATACTATATACACTATATATCACATGTCATAATATGTAATCTCTGTGCACCTACCTTATATGATTTCTACACCACCCAAAGGTTGACTGGAAGAGAATGCCGATGTACAAAAGTGCATAAAGTTTGAAATAAAATAAAATAAAAATAAATAAAATACATAATGCCTGAGGCATTGTCTAATGCCTCAGGCATTATGTTTTGCTTGATGCAGAGAAAAAGGAAAGTATGTGCATTTTGGTTGAAGTTAGTTTTGTAATATATCAAATATGCATATAAGTAAGCAATAATAAGTAGGAAAATTAAAAGGCGAGGAAGGGGGGGGGGGGGGGGGGGAGGCGCAATAAAAAGCACAATGTTTGGTTTAACGCAATAATTTAATTTACTCGACGGCACTCGACGATCGCTTCGTTGTGGTGGTGGTACGCGGCAATTTGTATGATACACGTGGCACCTCTGGGACATCATCGGCACATATTTACAACTCGGGGCCGCGGCGAGCGCTCGGCACGCGCACCCAACTCCTCACCTAATTATATCTACCTGCGAACGAAACGTTCAACCGTATCGAATCAAATAAAACGTTGCGTCCATTTTATACCATAAAACGGCAAGTACATAGATTTAGACAGTGAGGGTCCGCGAAAGCGCCCCGTGGCGTTCCCAGTGGTATGGCACTACGGAACTGAACGTTTACCGTTCGTGAGGACGGTGCAGTAAGGAACTTCGCATTCGTCCATCACTGTCTATTCAGCGTTTATCGAACGCCGGCTGAACGGCTTTCATACCTATCTACAAGAAGTCAGCGCCGACGCCGAACTGCAGGCCGGGCGCGTGCGCGTCGTGCGGCAGCGCGCGCAGCGGCACGCAGTAGTTGAGCTCGAGGCGCGCCACGCGGCCGAGGCGCACGCACACGCCCGCGCCGCACGCCGCGCGCCACGCGCCCAGCGCCGCCAGCGCCGCGCCCGCGTCCGGCGCCGCCAGGCAGCCCGCGTTCACGAACACGTGCGAGCGGAACAGCGCGCCCAGCCCGCCGCGCGCGCCCACGAACGGCAGCGGCGCGAACACGTGCAGCCCGCTCGCCCAGTACATCTGCCCACCGAATATACAGAGGCGTTCATCGTTGACGCGGAACGCTATGGCGCTATAAATAATTAAAAGTACCCTAATATTTTGGCGATGAGTCGAAACCGTTCGCTATCGCTTCCACTTTTACTCTAACTTTACGGAGACGACTGCGAGCACTCACCCGGCCGCCCGTGGCCTGTCCGTCGCTGTGCGGTCCCACGCCCCTCTGCCGGAAGCCGCGTAGCGTGGTGGGTCCGCCTAGGTACAGGTGGTCGGGCAGCTCCGTCCCGAACACGTCGTGCAATACGCCCAGCGCGCACGTGCCTTGGAGCACCTGAAGACGTCGATCGATACATATTATTCCGATGAACTTCATGCGAACAGAACGCTGATTACGGCCAACGATAGCGACGACGGATCATACTCACGACGTCCTCGATGAGCTGCGCGTTGGCCTGAGCGTGCAGCTCGGTTTTGAGGTTGGCGACGCCCCCCCCGAGCCCCGCCACCTCCGACGTGAACTGCACCCACGTACCACGCGTCGGGAAAATAGGTTCGTCTCGGTGATCTACCGCCACGATGTGACGCAGGATCGATTTCATCTGCGGACCTGTTCGAATCATTATCGCATGTACGTATGTACATCTACGACCAAGTGTGAATTCATTCGGAGCGTGCGCGGGATACACTCACCGCTGCTCTCCCGCACCTTGAAGCTGGTGGTCTTGCTCAGTACGGATGTGTCTCGCACCAAACCCTCCCACTGTATGTTGTGTTTCGTCTGCAATGACATAGCTCACAAGAAATCTGAGTAAATTCCCTAAACCACGGTTATAGCTTATGACATGCGAGGGGGCTCCACGTTTTAATGAGAGCATGCTGAGGCCTTTTAAAGTAGATCTTCGTACTAGTAGTAGAGTAGACGAAATATTCTACATTCTTTGAATCTCTTATAAATGAGAAATAGCTGGCTGTGGAGCGTCCGGTTCGAAGGACCATGAAATATAATGTCCACGTACACTGAGAGTTAATTGTGAAAATTCCAAATTCAGTGTAACCTTCATATAACGAGCCTCAATATAACGAATTTTTCAAATTACCCTAGAAACGTTCATAAGAGTTAATGCAAAATATACCTTTACATTACGAATATAAGTGTACCAAAAACCTTTTTATAACGAATTTTTAATCATTGCAGAATATAGATAATTTTATTGACCTCTATTTAAAGATTTTTTCAACTCATAACCTTGACATGATGTCTCCTATCAACTAATCCCATTTAGTTGTACATTAATAATTCATGTTTCGACAGGTTCAGACACGTTAAATTCTTCGAGTTTGATGCTTCTTCTTGTTTGATTTGATGGTCAGTAAAGTAAAAACTGCTGTTTGTAATTGTTGTTAGTTTTAAAATTGCAATGGCTGAGGAAATCTTTTCGTTAAAGAGTGTTTTCATTTATAAGTGGAAATCGTTCGCTTTATCAAGGTAAGCAGATAAGCAGCTACGTAAAGTTGAGGTTAATGAACAACTTTTTTTACCTTGTTAAAACGAATCGTAGTCCAATCTAACCTCTATACAACAAACCCCATAGTAACAAATTACGCAGTATTACGAATATTTTTTAATTCCCTTGAGTTTAGTTATGTCGAGGTTGCACTGTATTAGAAAAAGTGTTGAATTTTGTAACTGTAAATTGTGAGCAAGTTGACTTCACAATTGGGGTGCCGTAGTGTAGGGCGTGACGCATAGTGAGAGATCACGAGTGGTGTTTAACTCACGACAGGCGATGTCTTGAAGGCGACGTCAAGCAAGAGGCCGCGGTCCAGCAGCCGGTAGCCAGACCACGGGTACTCGTGGTTCTGCTGGTATACAGTCGCTGACAACCTGCGCACGACATCATGCACCTCGTCACCTAACAGTCCCAACATCGATTGGACAGTTAGATGCCGATTTGAGAAGCTTATCTTCGTTACAATTGAATACACAGTTAGAACAATTATTGTTATCTGTACAAATTGAAGTCTGTTTGTAATGTCAAAAGAAAAAGGTTATTTTCATGCTCACACGGTAATTTGCACGATACCTATGCCTAAAAACCACTTTAAATATTTTTGTCTGTCTGATCGTTTGTTCCGGGTAATCTTGTGAACGGCTGGACTGATTTTGATAATATTTTACTACCAGGTAGCTGTCTATATAAGGAGTAACTAAGTTAGAGTTCCATTTTTTTATGTTATAATTACTTTTTTAATATTATTCTGTAACTGTCTAGTTCCGCAGCAGTATAGCAGCTCTCGTAATTTTAAAAAAAATATTCGACAAAACTCACACTGGCACTAGCGGTTTCTGTGGGTAAGGTTTGGTGGCGGCGATGCTGAAGTTGGACGAGCTGCGGTACCCCATGCTGTACTCTGCCTGCAGCTTCTCACCGCGACCCAATACGTTCGGCATTTTCACACCTAAAGCGTACCACATCAGTCCATAATAATAACTTGTTAAACAAAACTGCTTCCATAGACAACAAACAATAATTTTTTCATTACTTCATTGTTTAAAACTAAGACATGTCATAAAATCATAAAACATTTATTTAAATAGTCAAAATTTGATTTCATAAATTAAATTACAGTCATCAATGTTAGCTAAGACGTACGTACCGAGCACCAGGTTCCCTTCGTTCTCGCTGACAGTGGTGTTGACGCCGCCCACCACGCGCGACAGCTCCCGCACCTGGAACGTGACCTGCGAACACACAGAGGCCGGCAGTAGGCATATGTTGACATATTGTTGTTTGTTAGACACAAAGTGTCACGAACAAGTTCAAACATATACGGATTTCTACTCTGCCGCTCGAAATCAATTTAAATTGTGATCTGAGATAAGAGAGACCACCAAAGAAATGATAATTTATAATGGTTGGGTGTAACGATATAGATAGAGTTCGTGTAAAGTCTCACCTCGAGCCCCTCGGGCGTGGCGTCGGGCCCCGAAGACACGTCGATGAGCACGCCGATCTCTCGGAAGCAACCCATCGCGTCTAGGGCGCGCCGGACCTGCACACCACTATACTAGACACAACAGTCGCTACTACTTCCGAGTATGTATGCTCTAGAGACGCTGTTTGAGATGCAGCATAGTCGTATGCCTTGCCATTGTGTGTAGTGATTGTGTGGCGGGAATTCTTTCAAAATGTTCATATGGACTTTAGTGAATGTCATAGAGAGTAGTTATTTTCTCATCGGAAACGTGCAACTAACATAGTTGTTATTATAAATATTCATGGGGTACGGTACACGACAGCTTTCTAGTATCACTGGTGACAATCACGCTAACGAACCAGGCGTTAGCGTGTTTGTCGCCAGAACGATAATTCAATTCTTAGATGTTCGGCGGTGGCAATGGAGGTTGGTACCTTGTGCGCGCGCAGGATGACGTCTTCGAAGTCTGTGGCGTGGAACAGTTCGTCCACGGTGGAGCGGATGACGTCGTCCTTGGTGCGCGACAGACCGTCCACGTGCACGCGGTCCACGCGAGCCTGCCGCATAACAACCCATCGCTCAAACTGTGCCCAACTGTACTCTCGTCAATGTGCACAACTATCCCTGTATTCACAATTATAGACTACATCTACCCACTTCCCTACTCTAGCCCGATACACTCGTTTAGGCTCCCAGCAATGTCAGTAAAAGTATTCAATAAATTACCAAAACACATACAAGAAGAAAATAATAGAAATACATTTTTAAATAATCTAAAACATTTTCTAGAAATAAAATGTTACTAAACAATAAAGGAATTAAGACGAAATAAATCAATCATATTGCAAACAAAAAGCCAAAAAAAATACACCCATTTACAATAAGTATACTCGTAATCCCTACATGAATATATGTTTATTAAATACAAATATATTTCTTACCTATAATTCTATATATTATATATAACAGTATGTATACCTATTTACTCATTTTATAGAAATATGAAATTGAGTTGTTAGTTGTGTGCACAAATAGATATTTTAATTATTACTGCTTCACCCTCTTCCTCTCTCTCCTAACCTTTAGCGTGCGCGACAGGCTCCATCATGGTTTTATATTTGGAACAACATTTATGTACATTATGGAACGTAATCAATGATCGAGTCTTGAAGCAAATCTATCACTCAGGTATATGTTCACTTATAGTGTACTACCTAGCCAATGGGCCTGTCTGCATGGCCTCAACTTCAACATTTGATTAATTCCTTTGTGGTGTAACCACACTTTCGCCATAACATTTATTATATGCAAATAATTTTAAATGACTAAAAATAAACAAAATTTTATTTACCATAATACATTAATTGCCTAATACGTTTCCAAAAGGAGCGAAACAAGTGTTAGCGACCAACAAAGGTTGACAGAAGACACTCTCTATAGAGTAAACAACTCTCAGTTAAAAGTATGGCTCACTTGATTCTATCGTTTTAGAAATGTGACAACACTGGTTTTAATTCTTTCTTTTCTTTGTTACTTTTTTATACTTTGACCTTGATAAAAATTTGAGAAATAATATATTTATAGAGTCATGTGGGTCGAGTGTGCGCAGCGAGTAAGTGTGCGCATTCAAAATATCTCGAAAACGATTTGTAAATAAGGGACGACATCTCTTCTCTTCAGTACCCGGCGTGACGTTGTTCAAGTTTATGAGTATGCTGAAGTAAATAACATTACGCATCGATTTAACACATCCTCAAAATAAGCTGGACGAGACTGGGTATATGGGGTCCTAAAAAGGTTTCCTGAATTGAAATTGCGACAGCCAGTCCCAACTAGTATTGCCAGAGCAATAGGATTTAATAAAACCCAAGTACAAACGTTTTATGATAACTTGCAGAGCCTCTACAACAAATACACATTTTTACCCAACCGAATATACAATATGGATGTAAGTGGGGTGAACACTGTGCCAAAGAAAATACCAAAAGTAATATCGTTTAAGGGAAAAAAGCTGGTGGGGATAATTGTTTCTGCTGAAAGAGGCCAAACAATAACATTAGTTTGTGCAATGAGCGTAACTGGAAACTTCGTTCCTCCAGCTTTTATTGATCCCCAGTAGAGAATGCAAGGCTATTTACTTAACAATGCACCCAAAGGAAGTCTTAAAATGGTTTCTGATTCAGGTTTCATAAATACGGAAATATTTCAGCCAACCAAAGATAACCATGTCTTGCTGATTTTGGACAACCACAGCAGCCATATCTCACTGAGTGCTCTACTGTTTTGCTGTGATCATGGCATTAAAAAACGAACGACAAAGACGAAGTGGAAAAGTATATTTACTGAACGATTGAAGATTGGATTAAATGTAGCCTTTGCGGAGCCTGGTGGCACGAACCGTGCACCAGCTACGAATGCGGCATTTTTATTTGTGATACATGTATTAATAAGTAGATAACTGAGGCTTTCTAAGTTCAAGTTGATCTCTATAAGTTTATTTGGTTCTAAGATGATTACTTTAATTATTAAAAAAAAAAACATTTAAGTAATAATTTTGATTATGTTTTTGTATCTATTAATAAAAGATAACTCAATATCTCATTTTCATGTTGCATACACTTACCTACAGCATTGTGTACTTTTACCCCCATACTATGGTAAATGTGCGCATTCAGAATGTTTTTTGTTTTTCACAATATCTTAAAATATAAGCTATTTAAAATACTATCTTTGTGTACAAATTGTTGACAAGTAAACAGTCTTAGTAATTAACCTGGGTTTCTTTCATTCTATAAATCATTTTAGATTTTATTAAGCGTCAAAGTTTAAACACTTGACCCACATGACTATACTATTTATATTTGTATCTCTTTCTCTTTAATGCAATCTATCAGCTGAGTGGGGGCAGATGGCGTTCACAGCAAGCCTACATCTTGACCAGTTTTGAGCCTCATGTTTATATTAATCCTGCATATACTTAACTTTAACTTCTTAGCATGCATCCTAATGTATATGCTGCTATTGAAATACGGCACGGCGGGTTTAATGCACCACAGACCTTCTCTTTGTACCACATTTAGAGCAAATAAACTTATAATTATTATTGTTAACCCACTGTTATTTGTCCATTAATTCAGACAGTGTTGTCCAATAAAGACAAGGGTTGTCCACATACTTCTCTTTTTATCTAACTGTTACATGATATAAGCCAGACAGTATTACATTACCCGCACTCCATTGAGTTTGATCGTGGGCTTGGAGACCGGTTCATCGTCTATCTCCAATGGCTCCTCGAACTCAAACAGTCCCGTCCCTGTCCCCGCGCCAACGCTGTCACCGCTGCTCGGCTCCGACTGTGCCACAAACATATAACATAGTCATATTATATCATATCATCATTAGGCACCAAAGCCTTTTTTAAGTATACATTTAAAAAGCATATTTGTCTACATATCTAATAGTTTCTACCTATATTTCTGTAATAATGTAGCCAAAATGCAGATTATAGTGAAGTATAAAACTTATTTTGATACAAGATAACCTCTGCCGACTGGTCGGAGCCCGCTGAGGCTTACCTTTGCGTGCACAGTGCCCATCGTTATATAATTATTTTAATTCTCAAATTCTGTTGATGGTTTAAAACATATATTAAGTTAAAACAAATTATATTAGCTTGTATTAATTATAATTTAGAATTTTTATTTTGATAATTACATAAACAAAATTTGACAATTGACCACAGGCGACATGACATAACATGTAACATGACAGCTGACATGACAGCGACGACATAAAGCTCTAAAAAGTCTATGGATGGCCTGATGGAAAATACATGCATCCGTTTCTTTTGTAATTCTACATAAAATAAAAATATTTTATATATATATATTTTAATAATAATAATATTTATTCAGATAAAGAGTACAATAATCATTAATAAATTGTTCTCTAATTTAAAAATGAAATACAGTTGTTGTTTGTTTGCCCGAACTAGGTTGAACACAGGTTACCTCTCTTCTCCCTTCTCGGGCGCAGAAGAAACAACTACAATTTAATAAAACATCCGTGTGGTGACGGATTAAGAATACAAATTGTCACCACCCCAATTCATCCCGTGGGTGTCGTAAGAGCCGACTAAGGGAGCAAACTAAGCAGGACAACAGCACTGCAAAGAGAAGGAAAACTTGAAACAAACCCTATACCAACCCGTCTGGCCAGCGTGGTAAAGTAGGCCAAAACCTCCTTTCTAAGGAGAGGCCTATGTCCAGCAGTGGACTAGTATAGGCTGTTGATGTGATGATGTGATGTGATGATGAGCCTAAATAAGCAAGCTAACAAAATCAGTGATAAGTGGGTCAAAAATAATGCACTAAAACCGTTTAGCAAATTTTCATTTACATATATTATTTCAAGTAACTGCTCAGTTTGCTCATACTACAATTTTTTTAAATAATTATGTAATGTGTTTTTACAGCTGACATAATTTAACTTATAAATATTTAGCTCTCTATTTAATCTATTATTTAGAAATGGACTTCAATTGTGAGGTACAGACAGACTATATCTTTTCGTCTTTTGTTAAAAATATCAGCGTGTAACAGTTATTTTTTTAGTATATTTGTATTGGATACGGAGTTGTAAAAAGCGACATCTGTTTCCCCCCGTCGCATTCGTTGATTTATCTAAAGTAGTTTGTAGCTATAGTATTGTTGTTCTTCGTTCGCCATCGGACCCCTAGATGGCGTTTGTTTTATAGATAAGTCATTTTGTTAATTTATCATGATAAATTGTATTGGTGCTATAAGTGACCTGTTATGGTAGGAAGCGAGTTGCTTTTGATTTAGTTCGTGTTAACCTAGATAATAATGTGAGTGACAGTTTGAAATGTTGAGGTAGGGATTCTTTCTGGAAACTTCACGAACCGAACATATATAAGTCCGGCTTTTAGCCCCGGGGGACACTCTGCTAACTCTTGTCTTCTAATCTTAAATAGTGTTTTGTTTGTCTGGTGATTTTATTTTCGTAATATTTTATCTGTTCAAAGTACCCACGAAAGTGGTGAGTATATTCTTAATTTTTCTTGTACCTATTTGTTTCTTCGATAATATGAGTGCTAATCCATTCGTAGGGTCCCAGATTTCGGGTCAAGACGGTCTGTCTCAGACGGCGTGCTTGTTCATTAGTGGCCTTCTGGTGCGAAAACAAGTTTCTTGGTACCCTCTGGCAAACTGGCAGTCACGCGGCTCACCAAACAAGCGGACAGCCGTACTCAAGGGTTACGTACTTCTCGTTAACTTTATTAATATCAATAGCGAACTTTCCTTATTACCTAATATAAATAGCCGACTCGGGCGGAAGGGGAAGTGACCTCCTGGAGTGAAGACGAGGAGGCTCCGAGCAGCATCAGCTCGGCTCTGACGCGCGCCACTGCGGTTTTTTTTTATACCCACTAATTAATTTATTTTTTTTAATTATTGTAACTTCAATTTTACTATTTTATTTTACACTACGTACTCTGAATATAATTGCGGACGAAGTAGATTTATTTTATTGCTCACTGAGTGAATTCACAATAACAGCATTAAGAATTATTTCTTATAATAAATAAGTAGGTGGTATAACACTATTGCATTGGGCTAAGCCTGTAAAAATAGTTGTTTTTAAAGAAAATAAATAAATAAATAAATTTTTTTTTGAAATATCATGTATGTATGACTGAGGTGTAAGTTGTTTTCCTCTAAGGAGTCCCGTAGGTTTCCCACACGCACACACTTCTGTTCTCTTACAAGGCGCCCTGAGGTAATCTCGTGAATCTCTCCACTGGGTCAGCCGGTGAGTAGTCCGCCTGACACGAAAAGCGGCTACAAGCGTGTGTTGGTGTGGACCAAAATTGAAACGCAGTTCAACGGTTTTACACAGTATTTTATTCCAGGTTAACAAATGTAATACTCCACAATTATATAATCACAATAATTATTCAGCACTCTGTTAGAACACTTGTTATCGCTTCGGCTCCCGATATCGGGTGCCCTTGTTCTCTCACTTACGACTCAACCGTTATAATGTCCCCAAAGGAAATACCAAATCGGTTGAGGCGGAAGTGGTAATATTAAATACAAATATTATTATGTTTTAATTGTCAATACACTTTAAATATATATTTTCGATTAACTAAACATTTATTCACATTTTAAGATTAACTGTTCTAGTTAATATCTAAATCGTAACACCGGAAGTATAAGTACAATAATAAATATAAAGGTATAATACAGTTGATTCTAATTACAATATTAAGAGTTATATTTCTATATTTTGTGAATGACCATCGTGAGGTACTTGTCTCTCTATCCTAACTAAATCCCCGACATTGTATTTCTTACATGGTTTTCTGCGACTATTATAACGTTCAACATCTTTTTTTTGTTGTACTTCGATGCGTTTGGAAGCTTCGTCCCTAACCGTATTTAGTTCGTCGGATGGTATGACGTTCATTGTTTCGTTAATTATTGTGCTCAATATGCCTTGAGCCCTATGGTTAATGTTAAAGCCGAATAAAAGCTCGGACGGTGATTTCCGAGTTGTCTTATGTACTGTGGTATTCAAACCTATCTGAACATCAATAATAGACTCATCCAACGTCTTTCGTCCTTGCCATGATTAGACGTGGCCAATGCCTCGATATCGTTAGTCAGATCGTTATCGTAGCGGCGAGCGGTAGTGTGCTATATCAACATAAATTATACATCTACCTACCCTAAAATGGGGCTTAAAAAATGTTCAAAATGTAAGAAGAATATTACTAAGAAATCACCAGGATTGGAAAGTGAGAGAAAGTGGTTCATGCTGAGTCAGCTTGTGTAAAACTTTCTAATAAACAACTAAATACCCTACGTAGTTCCCCTGGAATTGAATGGAGCTGTGAAGATTGTTTAAAAAACTGTCTCGTAGATCTTCCTTTATGGTTCTGTAGGAGGACTGCGAAGACGACGACTCCGAAGCAAGTGTCCGAGGTGATCATCCAACGACTGATACTCGGAAACTTGTACAAGATATCAGCCGTGAAGTTAAGAAAGCATTTAAAGAAGAACTAGGTTCCCTAGAGACTGCACTGGAGTTCATGAGTGACCAACTCAATACCATGGAACAGTCTATAAAAAATCAGGACATAAAAATCAAGATTTACTTGCGTCTTCCATAGCAATCGTGGGATTACCAGAAATAAATTCGTTTCAGCGACAACCAGGTACCAAAGAAAAAAAAGACCAATCATTGTGGACTAAAGAGGTACGGGATCAGAACGGGAGAGTAACGCCTTACAACGGGAGTACTACTATTAAATCTTCCTAAAGAAAAGGTGGAGAATAGTATCTTAGTCCGTGGAGCCCTTACAAAATATACGAAATCACTCTTGTATAACGCTAAGTCTAAACTAAGTAACTCATGCCAGTTTGTATGGTGTAAAGATGGTAAGGTATTTGCTAGAAAAATATGCAACAGTAAAATTTATCACATCACTTCAATTCGGGATATAGATCAAGTTCAAAAACATTTAAATGCACTTACTTCGTCATCGTAAAAAAAGCAAAAAAAAAGGTAAAGTACCTCCTAAAAGTCATATACAATGTTCATGTTTACATATAAGATACAATACAATATAAGATCAATGATAAAAAAATTTACTAAGTTACTGCAGATTGTACATAATTGCTTAACTCCACTAGATGTAATAGTACTCACAGAGGTCGGTATTTCACAAAACATATCTCAGTTATGTAATTTCCCTGGATATAATATGCATTCACAACTGCGGACTGATAAAAGAGGCGGCGGAATAATTATCTATGTTAGCGCTCAGGGAAGCGTCCGGACGTCCGGTCGGCTGCCCCGACCGCTGCCACTACAGCGGCGCCAGCCACCACATAGAAGAGGAAACGTGGTGCCCGGGGGTCCCGCAAACTGCTCACCCCGCAGACTGCAGCGGTCACACTCACGCTGCAGCCGGGCGCCGCGGAGCAGGGCGTGACCTACGCGATTGGGTCCTGCGCGGTGCTAATCTTCGGGGAATCGGCGTACTCTGTTACGCCGACGATACCCTGGTCACCGCGCGGGCCCCCACATTCCGCGACGCCGCCGTACTTGCCGCGGCAGGCGTCGCTCATGTAGTGCGTCGCATCGGGGCGCTCGGCTTAACAGTCGCCCTGGAAAAGTCTGAGGCCATCTTCTTCCACGGGCCCATCGCTGTCGGGACCAGCCTGAAATATCTCGGGCTCGTTCTCGACAGTCGGTGGCGGTTCGCGGAGCATTTCCGGCAGCTGTCACCGAAGCTGCTGGCGTTTGCCGGAATGCTCTCGCGTCATCAAGAGGGTGTACGAGGAGGGCGCCCTTGTGCGGCGTGTTCTTGGAGGTCGGCCGCTTCCGGAGGAGATCGATCGCTGGAGACAGTCAGCTCACGATGATCTCTTCCGGAAATGGGCCGAAAGGTTAGAGGCGACCCGTAGCGGCTCGCTGCTCGTGGGGGCCGTTCGGCCCGTCCTGCGTCAGGGGGTGGAGAGGGGTCATGGGGCACCGACATACCACCTCACCCAACTCCTCACGG